TCATTACTTCTATTGATAAAGCTATTGGATGTTGGTATCATCTATCACTCCAAATTGAGTGAACCCCATCTTCAACCACAGGAACCTGCTGGTCTTCATGTTCTGTTTTGCCTGGACAGAACCTCCATAATGACTGAGCTGGGGGAGTAGGGAATGGTAACAGCCCTGGGTGAAAACGCCACAGTCTCCCACTGTTCATCCACAAAGTTCAGCAATTTTGCAAACAAACACGTCTCAGATTGCTGTATGCTTTGGGCCAGTTTCCAGAGCACCAAAGTTGTTTTGCCACTTCCCCCCACCCCCCTTGGCATTATAGTTGCATTTTTGAGGAGAGGATTTGCTGACCTCTTTAACTTGGCTATAGCTGGAAGTGCTACCCAAAGCATCTGAGACTTGAATTATGATTTGAGTAATTGGAGAAGTTGAAACTTGGAAAAGTATTGTACTCCTGTCATAACTGCCTACACAGCCCACTGCAAACTGGTGATCCAGTTGTTTAAGATGGTTATGACTGAGAATGGGAACTGGCCGGGAGACAGGAGGTATGTGCTGTTTCCTTTCTGTCTTCTGCTGGTAGTCCTGTATTTTCTCCTGTTCCACTTTTTGCAAACTATCCATGGATTCGTTGACATAACTTCCTTCAGTCCTTTGAGAGTGGACCGTCATTGGTTACCTGATAGTCACGATAGTTCAACCTCCACAGCAGGCCATCTTAGTTTATGTCTTTACAGCAACATTTGTGCAGGTGTTCAGTATTATTACCTCTTACCTTGTTAAGCAAAATGATTGGGAATTGGAAAAATGAAAATCCCACAGCGAAATGATAAGAACTTAGCCATTGAACTGAAGTCAATGATATGCTCACCTGTGAAGGATCAAAACACAAGAATAATTGCACTAGTCTGGTTGTGGGTAGTAGGGGGTATATGGTAAAGAAGGGATGGACTCCTGGGGGGCCTAGAGACTTACTTTGCCTTTTCAGCAAGGCTTTAATAATTCTGTGGTTATGTGGTGTTTTCATATTGAATAATACCATGTTTGTCTTCACCACCTCATATGAACTAAGTGTCCTGTTATTAGACAGTAAAGTTTTGTTTCTTGCTGACATCTTTAGTGAGTTCATAGAGACCTTGTCACACTCTACATGTCTCATAACTATGTAGTAGGTCTTTTCTTAGGGAAATCAAAGTTCTCTTTTCTATGTGTTTTTCATGAAAAGGGATAGATTGGTTGCTACCACAAAAGATCAATTTCTCTAAAATACTATTCATCAGATTTGTAGCTTGACATACTTAACCTTTTTATTGTCTTTCGTAAGCACAATTAATTACCAGTATCTTCTTCAAATGCCCTAAAGGTGCATATCCTTACTGGGGCTAAGTAACTTTGTTTTTTAGTTTATTACTTTTTTAATGACTGGTAGATGTTACTTTATTTTTTCTTTGTAATTTATTTATATGTTAAAAAATTTTTTTAATATTATTTTGAGAGAGAGAGAGCAGGAGCAGGGGAGGGGCGGAGAGAGGGAGACACGGAATCCAAAGCAGGCTCCAGGCTCTGAGCTGTCAGCACAGAGCCTGCTGAGGGGCTCGAACTCACAGACCGTGAGATCATGACCTGAGCCAAAGTCTGGCGCTTAACCGACTGAGCCACCCAGGTGCCCAATCTGTTTCTTTCTTCCTTTTTTTTTTTTTTTTTTAAATAATTTTATTTTGAGAGAGAGTATGAGCAGGGGAGAGGGAGAGAGAGAATCCCAAGCAGGATCCGTGCTGTCCACAGGGATCCTGATGCAGGGCTTGAACTCACGAGCCGCGAGATCATGACTTGAACCCAAATCAAGATTCAGTCACTTGACTGAGCCACCCAGGAGCCCCTGATCTCATCTCTTTTAATGGCCACATAGTATTCCATTGTATGGATTATTATTTATCCATTCTTGTATTGATGGGTGTTAGGTAGTTAAAAATTTTCCTTATTACCGATTAGATTGAGATAAACATCCTTGTCTGAATGTTTGTCTTTACAGATAGATATCCTTAGAAAGGATTTCTTTTTTTGAGCAGGGCAAATCATAAAATTTTATTGAAAAACTTTTTTTTTTTAATTCTCAAGTTAGTTAACATACAGTGTAGTCTTGGCCTCAGGAGTAGAAGCCAGTGATTCATCATTTATATATGATACCCAGTGCTCATCCCAACCAGTGCCCTCCTGAATGGCCCATCCCCCATTTTCCACACCCCCATCAACCCTCCGTTTGTTCTCTGTATGTAAGTCTCTTATGGTTCGCCTCCCTGTTTTATCTTGCTTTTCCTTCCTTTCCCCTATGATCATCTGTTAAGTTTCTCAGATTCCACATATGAGTGAAGTCATGTGAGGTCAGTCTTTCTCTGATCGATTTATATACAAAAGGTTTCTAAAAGTGGAATTACTAGATCGTGAGTTTTGCAAGTTTGCCAATATCGATAGATTCTGCCAAATTTCCCTCCAAAAAAGTTGTACTAATCTACATTACTACTAATGGTGATTGAGTAAAAATTCTCCATTTACCAATACTGTATGTTATGAATCTTAGACTTTTCCCTCTGAATGGAAAAACTGGGGACTTTTTTTGGAGTGTGGTGCCAGCAGAGCATACACTGGCTTGCATTCTAGATCTGTCCTGTTACTTTTTCCAGCCAGTGACCTCTTGTGACCTCTTTTTTTTTTTTTTT